TTGTAAAAGTATAACTGAAAATTACTACACAATATAATAAATCTATCAGAAACAAGGGGGTGGTTAAAAAGCAAAGGTAGGGCAAATATATGTATCTTAACATTATTCTATAGGTTTAATATTATTTTGATAAATAATATTCGGCTCCATCCAGTTTTCTAAAGTACATAATAGATATATATAAATACACACATATGCAAATGCATCTATAGATCTATAATAAAAATTATTTAAACTTATTATTTTCCCTGAAGCATAGTGACCTCAAGAAGACTGATACAAGGGTAATCATAGAAAAAAAAATTGAAGAATTTCAGTCCCTGGTGTACTGTGAGAGAGAAAGAGAAAAAAAAAACCAAAACACTTAAACTGAATACTTGATTATTGAAGGCCATCCTCATAAGCAAAATATTTTCCCTCAATTACACCTAATTATTTAATTGTTTACATTTACTAATGAAACGAAACAACACAAAACAAACAACTGTAAGGGGCTGTTTTTCAGCAAGTGCATAATCATCAATCAACATGTACAGAAAGATTCTTAAAATCATACGAAGCTGGTCTGTTTAAATAGAAAGGCATATTTTATCCCAATCAATGCATAAAAGTAAAATTATCCATAACTGAGGCATGTTTCTCTGCTGTACAGTTCAGCTGTAATGATCCCCACACACTGCACTTGCACATCAATTATGATAATCATAATCACGGTCGTTAAGCTGAATGTTCATTATTATCAGGATGCTGGTGACAGCAGATTCAATCACCGGGTGCCATGGGCAAGCAGTCCCAGTCCCACCCAAGCTTCTGCAGACAGCGATGTGCCACATTAAATCTATGATGTGCTCCACATCCCACTCCATTCCAAAAGCCGTAGACGGTAAAGGTCAACTTTATGTTCTGTGCAATATGCTTAGGTTCTCTAAATTAATTCTTTGGAGTACTAGATATTTTTATGCTTTGTGGCTTATGAAATCCTGTTTAGGACCAAAATGCACGTGAAAATAACAAAAAAGGGCTGCCCTAATGTTGTAATTCACCTACAATAAGCAGATGAAGAAAGGCTCTAGCAACATGAACCATCTTAAAAGCCTCTTCCTGAATTCTGCAAATGTGGGAAAACACGAAATAGTTCCAGTAAAATCAGTTGTCTAAAATGCACATGAGAACTCATTCCAATTCAGATAAAGGCCTTAGACTATTATTTCTGCTTCAGTAAATATGAACATATGTGAATGTTTTGACAACCAAAAGGATGTTTTTACTATACTGAATTTTTGTATTGTCCAACTCATTTAAATTTACCCAAATAGATTAAATTAATAGTGAATGACTGGTATATGCTCCTTATTGAATTTCACTTCTATTTTAAATATTGATATCAGCACAGTAAAGAGTTTATAAACACAAATTATTTACCTGAACTTAAAAAGTTTTATCATTTAAGACACAGGCCTACAATCTAACAACTTGGGGCATTTTATGAACAGATTAAAGAAATGTGAGTAAGGAAGGGAAGGAAAAATAAAATAAGATAAAAACAGAGAGGGAGACAAACCATAAGAGACTCTTAACTCTAGGAAACAAACTGAGGGTTGCTGCACGGGAATTGGGTAGGAGGTGGGTAACTGGGTGATGGACATTAAGGAGGGCACTTGATGCAATGAACACTGGGGGTTATATGCAACTGATGAATTACTGACCTCTACCTCTGAAACTAATAGTATAGCATATGTGAATTAAATTGAATTTCAATAAAAAATTTTAAAAAAGATATAACTTAAGTTGATTAAAAGTTATCATCACTAATTACATAAAAAAAGAAATGTGATATGTTTTATTACATTTTTTATTACAGATTTCCATGCTTTTAAGAAAAATCGTATGTTATTTTTCATTACTGATTTTCATACTACGAAGAAAAAACTGTACTATTGGCTCTCCCTTTGTTGACTTTCTGATGTCTTTGTACAGTGTTTTTCGAGTCAATAGCATTAAAAATAAAACAAAAATATTTAAATAATATTTGATATTTAACTGATTTGATGTGAATGTGATCAGAGAAAGAGTATCTAACATTTGATTTTCTCTCAACTGATACCCTTTATCACTGTGTAACAAATGATTTGAAAATTATAACCTCCAGGCTTATAGATGATAGAAGAAAAGGAAATTCTCCATGTAGATAATCTTAAAACATGATGGAAAAGGTGGAGAATAGGAACCAACTATATTTAATGGAGCTGTTTCTTGGCTGAAATCAATTTATTGCTTTCAACTAAATGTTATATATAATTTAAATGTTTGTAAACAGTCCATCTTCCCACAGAAGAAGCATAAAACCAGGTCAGCCTTTCTTCTTCAATATTTTGATCTTAATAACTCTAGCCTCCCTAAAACTATCCTTACTCCACTAATAATGAATAAATTGTGGCCTCCAACTTCAGTAATCAAGAAACTAAGTTTTCATTGGACCCAATTCTCACCCAAATGACTTAACATCAAATCAAAATATAAATTATGTCTAATAGTTGTAAGATTTAACATATAAACAATAAAATGGCTACCTCTCTATCGTGCGGATTACATTAGCCACACAGAAGGATAATTCGTTTATTTAATACGTTTATTTGAAGAGATCAGGAAGTAGGAAGAAATAAGAAAGAAGGGAGGGAAGGTGGGAAAAAAGAATTTCAACTTGCATTTAGTATTTTTCTACATGTTTTTATGTAGGGTTAAGTGAATTCATGATTTATTAAGACAAAGAATCCAGGGACACCTGGGTGGCTCAGTCAGTTAAGCATCTGCCTTCGGCTCAGCTCATAATCCCAGAGTCCTGAGATGGAGTCCCACATCGGGCTTGCTTCTCCCTCTGCCTGCCACTCCCCCCTGCTTGTGCTCTCTCTCTCTGTTAAATAAATAAATAAAATCTTAAAAAAAAAAAAAAAAGCTTTAAAAAAATCCCTATACTTTTCTCTCTTAATTTTCGGGGTCTACAAGAACAACTATTTGTCATTAACTTGTTAGGTATGTATACTTTCTAAAAGTATGGAGGGGCACACGATTCTTCAAAAGAACAAAATAAATTTTATTTCTCTTTAGTGAGTATCCAAAAGTCTCTATATTTCCATGAAGTTGCTTACTTCTGTAAGATAGATGCATATTCTAAAATATGCTAGAATGTATGAGGTGAATCTGTCATATAAAACCAAAAAGTAGGGCGCCTGGGTGGCTCAGTTGGTTAAGTGACTGCCTTCAGCTCAGGTCATGACCCTGGAGTTCCGGGATTGAGTCCCGCATCAGGCTCCCTGCTCAGCAGGGCGTCTGCTTCTCCCTCTGACCCTCCCCCCTCTCATGCTCTATCCCATTCTCTCTCTCAAATAAATAAATAAAATCTTTAAAAATAAATAAATAAATAACTAAAAATAAAATAAAACCAAAAAGTACTGTGTTATTCTAGGAAAGAAACATTTGCACAAGGATCTTATTTACTCGGAAATAGCTTAGTGTCCTGAGGTAAATTATTTATATTTAAAGAAACGAACACTCTCTTGAATTAAATAAAATGGTGAGGGGGTATAAAAGCAAAAAATGTTTATGTCAAATAGCAAATGAGATATAGATCACATTATGCACATTCAAAATATGAAATTAAATAGTTTAAAAATTATATTTAGCTTATATTCTGAATGGTTGCATATCAGGTAAAAACAAATGCCAAGAATAACATTGTCACCAGTATTTAGGTTTGTCAATCAGTGAGCCAAATTGAACTACCCACTGTACCTATTCCTTATGATGTGGAATTATTATTTAGTATTTTAGATCATTTTTTTAAGAAAGAGGACTTAGCAGGTGGAAAAGAAAAAGGTACTTTCTAAAGTATCTGTATTACTCCCCAGTGACTAACCTTCGGTAATCCCCTATTTACAATGTCCTAAAAAAGACTTTTTCTTAGAGTTTGGTAAAATAATCATTTTTCTTAAGGGTCTAACATGTGTCTTCCTCTTGAGTAATGAGGATATGTCTGCAACTTTTGTTTTCCTCTTCATCTTTGCCATCCACAAGCTGAAATTCCTACCACTTACCATTGCTGTAATGGTTTCCTTTATTTTGTGAGTACAGACACTGTTCTCATCTAAGATCACTTCCCCCTATTTTTATTTCTAAAATATAACCTTTACTGTATTTACCTTTTAGTAATGTGTCTTAAATCCTTTTGGAAGGAGGCTGTGTGTAAATGAGTAAATCCTCACTGACAGACTATTAATAGAACCAATACATCTGGTATACCCTATGGAACTCAGTGGCTTTAACCCCTTTCCAGAATGTCACTTACAACATCATTTTATCTGCATAATTATTTCTATAAATAAGTTATAGTTTCTGTTAGATAACAGGCTTAACATGTAGTAAGAACTTTCCTTTTACATCACATTGGTGTAAGACACTTTGGTGTTTTCCCTATTCAGAAAATTTTCTCTAAATGCTAATAAATGTAACTCTGGAATCAATAAATATTTGCTTTCTTCTTTTCTATATCATTCATATTTATATACACATCACATATATCTCTATCTATTCCTATCTATATATCTACCTACCTACTTACTTATTTACTGTCTATCTATCCACAAACACACAGAGATTGAGAGAAAGCAATCAAGTGCTGTTCTCCATGTCTTGAGAGCTTGACTATTCTGTGACCACAGATTCAAGTTTTGGCCCTGGTTGGCTTTGGCAAAGCCATGATGCATGCCATAGGTCACTGGGTAGCTGAGTCATTACACATAAAAACATATAACACTAAAAAACAAAAACATAAATCTCTTACTGCCTAGAGAAGTCAGCAGGGCCATCTTTACATGAAATAGCTATAAATAATTTTATAACCACGAAGGTGTTAACTGTAATGAGAATATTTATATTTGTTGTAATCAGTGTATATGTTTAGCCTTTCCAAAGGAACATTATTTTTTAATATTGCATTAACTTACCTTGTCACAGATCCACTTCTTAGGATTTTCATCTCTAAAATGTTGACTTCCATAAGAATTGGGACCATACTTGCTTGATGAATGCATTAATGGGATGTACTTTTTATTTTTATGGTAGGAAGAAAATGGCAAAAACCTGAAAGAACATTTAAGTGATGTTAATTTTATTTCTGTAGACATTTGATTAAAGGCATTAGAATTTAGAGAAGTAGTAAAGCGTAGTGAAAATAAAACATGGCTTGGAATCAGAATACCTGGATTCAACTTTAACCTCTGCCACTATCTCTGTTACTAACTTTTATGAATTTCATTTCTTATTCAGCAAAAGGAGATACTAAGACTTTTTTTAACAGAATTTTTATAAGTCTCAAATAGTTTAGAAATATATAAAATTTTAAAGAATAAATTTATCAATTAATGATGCCAAATAATTCAAAATTTACTGTGTAAATAAAAATGTTAATTTAAAAATGGCATCAAAAATGAAAAGGAGGCCCAGTATAGGAAATTCTCATTGAAATGAGTTTTCTTCAAAGTTGTTTTCTTTTTTTTATTGCGGTATAATGGACATACAAGATTATATTAGTTTCAGGTATACAACATAATTTGATATTTGTATATATTGTGAAATGATCATCACAAGTCTAGTTAACATCCATCACTATACATAGTTATCTTTTTTCTTGTGATGAGAAGTTTTAAAGATTTACTCTCTTAGCAACTTTAAAATATGCAATACAGTATTATAAATTATAGTCTCCATTATACATTATATCTCCATCTGTACATTATGTCCGAATTATTTACTGATTTTATAACTTGAATTTTGTACCTTTTGACTCTCTTCCCCATTTCACCTACCCACCACCCCACGTCTCTGGCAACCACCAATCTGTTCTCTGTATCTATCAGCATTTTTTCTTGATTCCACATATAAGTCAGATCTTATGGTATCTGTCTTTCTCTGTCTAACTTATTTCACTTGGCATAATGCCTTCGAGGTCCATCCATGTTGTTGCAAATGGCAAGATTTTTGTTTATGGCTGAATTATATTCCATTGTATACAACACTTTTTCTTAATCATCCACTGATGGACATGTAGTTTACTTCAACCCATATCTCGGCTGTTGTAAATAATGTTGCAATGAACATGGGGGTGCATATGTCTTTCTGAGTTAGTGCTTTTGCTTTCTTCAAATAAATATCTATAGGAGGAACTGCTAGATCATATGGTAGTTCTAGTTTTAATTATCTGAGGAACCTCCATACTATTTTCCATAGTGGTGGCACCAATTTACATTCCTACCAACAGTGCACAAGGGTCTCCTTTAGTCCATATCCTTGTCAACACTTGTTATTTCTTTCTGATACTAGCCGTTCAGACTGGTGTAGTAGGGTGATACCTCACTGTGGTTTTGATTTGCATTTCCCTGATAATGAGTGATGTTGAGCATCTACTCATACACCTGTTGGCCATCTGTATGTCTTTTTTGTAAAAATGTCTAAGTCCTCTATCCATTTTAAAATTAAACTGTTTTTCTTTTTGCTATTGAATTGTATGGGTTCTTTATATACTTAAATATTAACCCCTTAACAAATATATGATTTGCAAATATTGTCTCCCATCCAGTAGACTTTTCACTTTGTTGATGGTTTCCCTTGCTGTGCAGCTTTTTATTTTGATGTGGTCCCACTTGTTTATTTTTGCTTTTGTTGCCTTTGCTTTTGGTGTCAAATCCAAAAAACTCATCACTAAGACTGACGTCAAGGAGCTTACTGCCTATGATTTTCTTCTAAGAGTTTTATGGTTTCAGGTCTTACATTAAAGTCTTTAATCCATTTTGAGTTAATTTTTGTGTATACAATAAGATAGTGGTTCAGTTTCATTCTTTAACTCACTGAAATAATGAAGGCATTTTTGGTAGGGGTTATGAATAATGGGGTTTTTGAGTCAAACAGACTAGTATTCACATCTTAGCTTTGCCCTTGCTACCTCTCGTCCCTTACAGAAGTTACTTGACCTCTATGAGATTTCACTTCCACATGGGGTTGTTGTAAGGAATGAATAATTTAGTATATGTAAAGCTTAACATGGAGGCTGAAAGAGCAAATGCCCAATAAATAATGGGGGTGCTAAAAGTAGAAGTAAATGTAGAAGTAGCTTGTTGCCATAGCCATCATTATCATTAGCATTATTATCTTAATGTGTTATCATGATCAACATAAAAGATAAAAATTTTAAGACCCATATAATCGTTCACGGACCAGCTAAGATTGTGATAATACTTTCAGTGTAATGTGGTGAGATGCTTAAATTCCTCACCAGAACCCTCTGAAATAAGAGTAAAGAAATTAAAAAAAAAAAAAGTTATAAACCTGTTCCAGAAGAGGGAGAGGCCAAAGGGGAAGGGCCATTTTGCAGAACTCCAGTGAAGCTCAGTAACAAAAGCTACAGTTATTGCAGAAAGTGAGAGTGAGGGATAGAACTGGAAACAGATTAAAAGTCTGTGCAAGAAGTAAAGAAATATTCACATTCCTCTCCTAGGCCATGCATCCATGAGAAGAGCCTTTTCTCAGAAACTTTACACCAGAGAGCTCTGGTCTCAGGGGAAGCAGGCACAGGCCAATGGGAGGCACCAAATGGGATATATGATTTTATTTTATTTTTTTTTATTATGTTCAGTTAGCCACTGTATAGTACATCATTAGTTTTTGATGTAGTGTTCAATGATTCATTAGTTAGGTATCTACTCATTGAACTCTTCCCTTGCTCGTATCTATGTGAACTGGCAACTGGACTTAAATATTTCATTCACATGAATGCATCTTCTCAAAAAGATAATGGGAGTGCCCAGAGAAAAAACTTCACTATTGACATTTGAAGAATTCTTAATTAAAAGTTGATCAAAAAGCCACTCTCACGTACAAATATATTTCTAGTCTGATTTTTAGAGACTCCTTTAATATGAATCTAAGAATGGATTACCAATTGGGGAAACTACCAACATGAAAGAAAGACACAGATCCAAACACAAAAGATAATCTGGAGGAAAGAGATTTAATGAAGGAAACAGGAGTAAACCTCAAAAATTTTAATTAATATAATCAAAGAGGATATGGTGCTAATGAAGTTGGAGTTAGATGCTGTTTTAAATAAAATAAACTAGAGAAAGAGATCTGGGCAATAAAAAATATATATCTAGTGAAATGAAATATTCTGCTGAGAAGAATATTCTGAAATTCAGGCTTTGAAAAAATAAAGTTGAGGTTCAACAGATTTATTGACCCCATAACCGTATGTCAATATTTTCACATATATTATCTCATTTAATTAAGACAAGGAAGTTTTTTTTTTATTATCTCAGTTGAACTGAAAATTTGATTCTTTGTCATGATATTCATAAATTTGTTTAAAAAATAATAAAGGAAAGCAGCATTATTTCATTAATTTTAATGCTTCTCTACAATTACTTTTTAGTTTTTTTCCCTTTTTAATGTTTATTAATAAACTTCTTTTTAATATTTTTCCTAAGAAAACATCTCTAATACTATTTAAAATATAAAAACAAACATAACACAGAGCTTTGAATTACACAAAATTACACAAGCATGTATTACACACGCTCCTGGGAAAAGAGCTCTCATATAAGACAGATTATGGTCCTTCCAGTGCTAATTTGCACATGGGATGGACATCACACACACACAAATTAATGTGGCCCCAATGTCCCTGAGTATACAAAGGGGGTGCTGTGAGCCGGCTGCTGAACTTACAGTTTTTATCACTTCTGAATTGCATTTTAATAGTATATTTTTCTTTTGTGTCTGAACAAAATTTGCTTTCTCAAGGGAATGGATGGCTGAGGAGACAAGGCTGAAAAACTAAGTATTTTCCTGTCCATGAGTTAATTTTACTTTCATTCAGCCATAATGTTTCACTGAAGTAACATGTATATATACGTATGTGCATATATAGGTATATATATTAAAAAATATTTAGATGGGCTGGGGGCGGAGCAAGATGGCAGAGGAGTAGGAGACCTGGATTTCGTCTCCTCTCAGGAATTCAGCTGGATAGGGATCAAACCATTCTGAACACCTACAAACTCAACAGGAGATC